TAAACTAAATGGAGTCAGTTTAGTCATTGTTGTTATTGTTACTAGGTGCCATCAAGGCAGTACCAACTCATAGCAACCCTATGCTGCCCGGTCCTGGGCCAACCTCATAATTGTTGCCACGCTCAAGCCCATTGATGCTGCCACTTTGCTAATCCATCTCACTGGGGGTCTTCCTCTTTTTCTCTGACCCTCCACCTTACCAAACATGATATCCTTCTCCAGCCCACTGGTTCCTCCTGACAGTATGTCCGAAGTATGAAAGATGACTTTTTGTACCAGAATAGGCAAAAATACAGGTGGAATATGAGACTCTTTAGAAGAGGCGTAGCTCGCTATGCACGAGATTGGGTTATTGGCAGGACTGTGAGAGAGGGACACACATTCAGAGCAGCCTGTCATATCACTGTCTTTTTTAGAGAGGGGGAGCCAAGGAGCTCTGGTAGCATGGTGGTTATGTCTGACTGCGAACCGCAAGGTCAACAGTTTGAAACTACCCGCTGTTTCTTGGGAGAAAGATGAGGTTTTCTGCTCCCGTAAAGATTTATAGCCTCAAAAACCCTGTACAGGGTCACTATCAGTTGAAACCGGCTCCACAGCACACAGCCACCAGCCACCATCTCTGAGGGGACAGCGCTGTTTGGGACTACCCTCAAAGTCCTAGAGCAAGAGGTTTGGTTACAACATAAAATGTATACTGCCTTTCTTTTGTAAGAAATCACACTTCTAGCAAGGTTTTCACCTGCAATTTTCTTGCTCAGGCTTTCCAGTTCGCCATAACGTTAAAATTTCGTTTTGTTTCAGAGATACTTCCTTGGCCATGACTAAAGTAGGCAGAACCCGTACAAATTCTTTAAAATGCAGTAACAGCAACTGCAAAAAAACAAAAAACTAAAACTAGACTTACTGTATGACTCAGCATGAAATAGCCACCCTGAATAGGGTTTCCAATGTTGTAATCTGAACCGCAACGTCAGCCGGTTCAAGCTCATCAGCCACTCCTTGGAAACCCTATGCAGGGTCATTATGAGCGGAACCGACAACAATCTTTAAGAAAGCCTCATCTTTCTCCCTCAGAGCGGCTGATGGGTTTGAACTGCTGACCTTGCTGTTAGTAGTGCAGTGCTTATCCTACAACATCAGCCAGAGACCTTATAAACAACATATTCCCAGAAAAAGTATCTCTCTGTATCAAAGCCATAGCACACATCAGAACAGCCTTACTTCCTTTTCAGTGGCTACAGACGTATACATAGGCGTCCTGGTACGGCGCTGTGGGTTAATGCGCCAGACCGCAAAGCCGTTTGAACTGCAAGGTCGGCGGTTCAAGCTCACTAGTCGCTCCTCGGAAACCCTGTATAGGGTCACTATGGGTCGGATCCGACTCGGTGGCACTTAACAACAACAACATATATATATAGTCCCACAACTATTTACGAATATTATACAATTACCATTGGCGTTCTAGTGGCACTGCTAGCTCCAAGGTCAGCAACTCAAACCCACCTGTTGATCAGAGAGAGAAAGATGAGTCTTTCTGCTCTAGTAAAGCTTTATAGCCTTGGAAACCCTATATGCGATGGCTAGGAGTCAGAGTTGGAGTCCATCCACCAGCAGTTGTTGTTGTGAAGTGCCATCAAGTTGGTTCGATACATAGCGACCCTGTATAAGGTTTCTGAGGAGCAGCTGGTGAGCTTGAACCACCACCAGCAGTAAGTTTGGTCTTTAATGGCTTGCCAATTGTAGCAATGTGGTGGTGGACTCACAACTGTGGAGCGGGACTGAGCTCAACAGTCAGCTAATTCTAATATGCACTCTGACTCTTTAGGCAACAAGTTCCGGGCAACCAAAGGTGAACAGGTCAGGGTGACACGACACAAAGCGTTCCCAATGCGGAGGCAGGGAGGACAACAAACAACGCCTTAGGGCCACGCCTCTCGAACAGGGTGGGGTGGGGGGCGGAGCTGGTCTCCGGGGGGGCCCCGCCCCACGTCTGCGTCCACTCTGGGTGCAGCTGCTGGAAAGGAAACTTGGAAAGGCCCCTGGCTAGCAGCTCTAGAAGCTTCGCCATGCTTGTCCTCCGGAACTGCCTGATGAGGGCTCTGGCCGCGCGGCAGACTCAGGTAGTGGCCGCCGGACGCGCTGTGCTGCTCCAGTGGGTGGGGGTGAGGAGAAGGGTGTCTGCTGGCGCGCAGCCTTGTGCATGCGCTCTATCGACGCGCGCTCCCTTTCCTGCTAAGGCCGCGTGCTAAGTGTGGAAGAAGGGGATCGCTTATAGACGAGCCTTTCCCTTGGCATCTTGGGTTTTTCTGGCTTAGCTGCTCGGCGCCCCTAAGGCGCACCGACTAATGGAGGTTTTCCGCCCAGAATCGTTGTGGCTGTGCAGCGTCCTCGAGGTTGTCGATCGCAGAGCGCATTGCGGGATGGGATTCTCTTACTGATTCCCCTTTACAAGTCATTCAAGGCTGAGGGCGGAGGAGGACGGCTTGTAACACAACCAGATTCCGTGCTTTAAACGAAATGCACAGTCCCTGAGCATCTTGCTGAGGAGGCCCAGGTTCCGGGTGGGGAAAGACGGATCCCGGATGTCCCTAGGCAGGGTCAGGAACCTCTTAGCAAACATGACGATTATAAACAAACACTTATAACCCTTAAATGAGAAATGTACAAAATAGAGTTATTCTTGTATATATTTTTGAGGCTGTGAATCTTTATGGGAGGGAGCAAAAGGCCTCACCTTCTCTCCCCACACCAGATCGGCTAGTGGATTTGAACTGGCGGCCTTGTGGTTAGCAGTCCCGTGCTTACCCTACAGCGCCACCAGTACTCCATTTGGCCTATTGTAGGAGTCCTGGTGTGGTGCTATAGAATAAGAACTGGACTACTAACCACAGTTCAAATCCACCAGTCACTTCTTAGAAACTACACACGGGTCTCTATGAGTCGGAATCAACTCAGCGGCACTTAATTGCAATAGGTAAATCCAACGTGGAGTTTTATTTTGCACTTTTTCATGTCCCTTCAGTCTGTTTACTATAGTAAACTCTTACAGGCAGGAGTGCAAAGTAAGTTATTCTAGAAACAGACCCTTTCATGAAAACTAAAATAATACAGTGTTTAGAGCAGGACCAGAGATTATTTCTTTACAACTTTATTCAGAGCTTTGACTTGTAAATATCAACCAGTTTTTCTCGTAAGTGAACTGGAAGTCGCCATTATTGAGAATGATTCCCAATTTAGAGATAAGAGGGCCTGCTGATATAGTGTTTAAGCATCTAAACACTCAACCTGCTGACCAAAATGCCTTTGGTTGGAACCCTCTGAGCTGCTCTGAGGTAGAAACATGTGGCAATCTGCAGAAAAATGTGGTAATTGCTTCTTATTGTTGTTAGGTGCTGTCAAGGCAATTCCAACTCACAGTCTGCACAACAGTATGAAAAACGGTAAATACTGTGCCTATGTTGTAGTCACTGTGTTGATCCATCTTCTTGGGAACCTTCCTCTTTACACTAATCCTTTACTTTACCAAGCATG